GTCTACTACAGGTAAGAGAGTTAAGTGACATGTCTACTACAGGTAAGGGAGTTAAGTGACATGTCTACTACAGGTAAGAGAGTTAAGTGACATGTCTACTACAGATAAGGGAGTTAAGTGACATGTCTACTACGGGTAAGGGAGTTAAGTAACATGTCTACTACAGGTAAGGGAGTTAAGTAACATGTCTACTCCAGGTAAGGGAGTTAAGTGACATTTCTACTACGGGTAAGGGAGTTAAGTAACATGTCTACTCGAGGTAAGGGAGTTAAGTGACACGCCTACTACAGGTAAGGGAGTTAAGTTACATGTCTACAACAGGTAAGGGAGTTAAGTGGCACGTCTACTACAGGTAAGAGAGTTAAGTGGGGGGTCTACTACAGATAAGGGAGTTAAGGGAAATGTCTACTACGGGTAAGGGAGTTAAGTAACATGTCTACTACAGGTGAGAGAGTTAAGTGACATGTCTACTACGGGTAAGGGAGTTAAGTAACATGTCTAATACAGGTAAGGGAGTTAAGCAGATAAGGGAGTTAAGTGACATTTCTACTACGGGTAAGGGAGTTGAGGAACATGTCTACTACAGGTAAGCGAGTTAAGTGACACGTCTACTACAGGTGAGGGAGTTAAGTGACACGTCTACTACAGGTGAGGGAGTTAAGTGACACGTCAGGTAAGAGAGTTAAGTGAGATGTCTACTACAGGTAAGGAAGTTAAGAAACATGTCTACTACAGGTAAGCGAGTTAAGTGACACGTCTACTACAGATAAGGGAGTTAAGTGACATGTCTACTACGGGTAAGGGAGTTAAGTAACATGTCTACTCGAGGTAAGGGAGTTAAGTGACTCGTCTACTACGGGTAAGGGAGTTAAGTAACATGTCTACCACAGGTAAGGGAGTTAAGTAACATGTCTAATACAGGTAAGGGAGTTAAGTGACACGTCTACTACAGGTAAGGGAGCTAAGTAACATGTCTACAACAGGTAAGGGAGTTAAGTGACATGTCTACTACAGGTAAGGGAGTTAAGTGACATGTCTACTACAGGTAAGGGAGTTAAGTGACACGTCTACTACAGGTAAGGGAGTTAAGTGACACGTCTACTACAGGTAAGGGAGTTAAGTGACATGTCTACCACAGGTAAGGGAGTTAAGTGACCGCCTAATCTTTTCATGTTGACACCAGGAAGCTCGGGATTATCTCTGGCACCTAATGCTAATCCATAACAATAGATACTTCATTACAGGTAAGGTAGTTTTACTTTCAGATTATTCTACTAAGTGTAAGGGAGTTAAGTGACGGCCTAATCTTTTCCTGTTGACACCAGGAAGCTCGGGATTATCTCTGGCACCCAGTGCTAATCCATAACAATAGATACTTAATTACAGGTTAGGTAGTTTTACTTTCAGATTATATGATACAAAGGTACATTTAGAAATGGTTCAGTAAGAAATGATTTTGTTTTAATTTCAGATGAAATATATAAATTCTTAGAATAAAGTTTCAGTAGATAGAATATTATAAATTGTGCAAATGCAGTATTTGCAATGTTGAAAGATGCATCTTTGGTAGTACATCTCAAACTCAATATAGGAGGGCCAAAGCAATACTTGCCAACAGTTTGATGGGGGAGATTATGTATGCTCAAATAAAAAAAACATTAATAAAATGTGTGTATTTATACCCTAGGGACCAAATCATCCTTAAAAAGGACAGATTTTAGGATGTTTTTTCAGATGAAATTAATAGATCTTAAAATGAAGGAATAGTTGAGCAGATTGACTGGTTGGAAATATTCAATGTAAGGGTCCGAAATTAGGACTCTCCCTCTGAAATAGTATGCAAAGAGAGAAACTGGCAAAATAAGAAAAACTATTATTTCTTATTCAGAATAATTAATTTGAATGTTTTGTTTTATTTTTGTGACATGATGAGTTATGTACAAGATCCTGCATGATTACTCTGATAGAAAATAAAAACATTACAGCTCAAGGTCTGGGGCCTCTTGTTGGACATCTCACAAATATTTGGGAAATTTAGATAATTAAATTATTAAAAGCAGGTTGACAGAAGACGAAATACAGCATTTGAAATGTTTGTACTTTGCCAATTTAAGTTCCGTACATGCTGTTAAGAGTTATGATGCCAAAAAAGTTAAACTTTGATCAATCAGGTAAGAAAAGAGGCCTGTTATTGTTACTGTAATACCTGTGTTAGGAGGCACGATAGTCTAGTGGAAGACGCCAGACTCGTGGCCGAATTAAGGGTTGCGGGTTCCAGTCATGTCACGGCACTGTTACTCCGCTTGTTCCAGTCTACTCAGCTGTAAATGAGTAGGCGGTTGTTTAGTGCTAGAATTGTTGAGTGCTAGCTGTGTGCGCTGAAATAGCAGCACTGGCTGTATGCTCCCCAGGGAGTTGAGAAAGATATTGGCTGGTTGCAAAGGCCCAGCTAGCTAGCTATAACCATAGATTTGTGAACTGCTTTGAGACGACCTAAGACCTAGGTTTTGATAAAGCAGTATATAAGAACCATTAATTATTATTATTACTTTGTTTTATTTAGGGAGATCTTTGCTTATGCCTGGAATAATATTTGGGAATATGGTCGATCCTCAAGGGCCATAACTCTTGCCAATGCTGGTTATAAGGTAATTATGAAAATAGTTGTTCAACAATATACATATCAATTTTTTTTTCATGATCATCTGAGTCTTCAGTTTCCATCAATTGTGACCATGAATCAATGACCTTGATATTGGTGACCTTCAATAAGTGACCTTGATATTGGTGACCTTCACTTTTCCAGGTTGTCATGGCCCAGGCGACACACTTGTATTTCGACCACCCCTATGAGCCTGACCCCCTGGAGCGTGGTCTGTACTGGGCGACACGCTACATCGACACTCGGAAAGTCTTTGGATTTATCCCAATGCACCTCCTCCTCAACGCAGACGTGACAGGGAGAGGAATATCTCTAGAAAACACTTCAGAGGAAAAGTTGGGTTGTCTGCATAAAGATACGTGTCTACTCAAATCACCGAAAAATATTGTGGGTACGTACACAGCTTGTCTACTGAACACTCCAACATCATGAAAGTATCTATAAGTATCATGATGTTTTCTATTTAAATAAAAAAGAGGTTTGCTTGGGACTTTTTAACATTGACTCTGGATCTTTAATTTGACACTAACCTTTAACCTCCCATTTGACACTAAACGTTAACCTTCCATTTGATACTAACTTTAATCCTTCAATTTGTCACTAACCATTAACCTTCCATATGACACTAACCTTTAACCTTCCATTTGACACTAACCTTTAACCTTCAATTTGACACTAACCTTTAACCTTCAATTTGACAATAACCTTTAACCTTCCATTTGACACTAACTTTAATCCTTCGATTTGACAATAACCTTTAAATTTCCATTTGACACTAACCCCTAACCTTTCATTTGACACTAACCTTTAACCTTCGATTTGACACTGACCCCTAACCTTCAATTTGACACTAACCTTTAAGCTTTCATTTGACACTAACCTTTAAGCTTTCATTTGACAATAATCTTTAACCCTCAATTTGACACTAATAATATATCCTTTAACCCTCAATTTGACAATAACCTTTAAGCTTTCATTTGACACTAACCTTGAACCCTCAATTTAACACTAATAATATAACCTTTAACCTTCCATTTGACACTAACCTTTAACCTTCCTTTTGTAGCTGTCACCTTTGACCTTCTAAGCTGTTTTTATCTGTAGGTTTGGAAGCTAATTTGTGGACAGAGACAATTCGGACAAATGACCAGTTACAAAGCATGGCCTTCCCTCGTCTCCTGGCCATGGCAGAACGAGCTTGGCACAAGGCGCCATGGGAAGACATTTTGAACAAGAAGGAGCGTCTAGTAAAGCTTGAAGCAGATTGGATAACATTTTCAAATACGCTGGGTTACAGGGAGTTGAGGCAATTGGATCAGATGGGAGTGAAATATAGAGTTCCACCACCTGGCGCGTTGTAAGTATCGAATTCTAACACCAGACACAGTGCAAGTATTGAGTTCCAACACCTGGCACGTTTAAGGTATCGAGTTCCACCACCAAAAATATATTTTTGCATGCTTGGGGTGTTCAATATGTATGTAGCGAAACTGGACTGGGTCTATTTTTGGAGGTCCCGGGTTCAAATTCCAATGTTGCTGTGCATTAATCTGTTACATGTAAAATAGTCAAATACAGTCACCTTATTCCATAATATTTAAATCAGGAGTTTTTCATGAGCATGTTTTGTATACTTTTTCCAGAATAGTGAATAATGAGCTGAGAGTAAATTGCCTCTATCCTAACCTGGAGATACAGTACAGTTCCGATGGAGGAAAAACCTGGACAACAGCACGACATCCCACAGAAAGGGTCAGAAAGAGTGGGGCCAGTAAACGACCTATCAAGGTCTATACTGATCATAATATACTAGTGCGGACATTGTCCGCAGACGGACGGCGCTACAGTCGTGTGATCGCAGTTAATATCAACAAAGACATTTAATCAAGACCGTACTTGTTAGGAAGGTATAATCAATGTAACAGCCACTAGTGCTGACCGAGTTTAGGTATAATCAATGTAACAGCCACTAATACTGACAGAGTTTAGGTATAATCAATGTAACAGCCACTAGTGCTGACTGAGTTCAGGTATAATAAATGTAACAGCCACTAGTGCTTACTGAGTTTAGGTATAATAAATGTAACAGCCACTAGTGCTTACTGAGTTTAGGTATAATCAATGTAACAGCCACTAGTGCGGACCGAGTTTAGGTATAATCAATGTAACAGCCACTAGTGCTGACCGAGTTCAGGTATAATCAATGTAACAGCCACTAGTGCTGACTGAGTTTAGGTATAATCAATGTAACAGCCACTAGTGCAGACCGAGTTCAAGTATAATCAATGTAACAGCCACTAGTGCGGACCAAGTTTAGGTATAATAAATGTTATCAATTAATTAATGCCTGCAGTCTATGGCAGATTGAGTCTACAAATAGATATTGTCTAGATTGTCACTCTGTCAGAAATTTACATGCGATGTGTTGAAAGTACATATACTTAGGATGTTGTTTTTGAGAGAGAGATTGAATCAGGGAGAGAGTTTAATTGCAGTTACCCACTGTGTTCCCAGATCATTTGCCAAAGTGGGGAGGGGGGTTATTTGTGGTTAAACATGGTACTGTCTAAATGACTGTACACCATCTGATTTCCACCCTTTAACATTTAACAAATTCATGCAATGCAGTTTCCGTGCGATAACTTGAGTTCCCTTGGGTTGATTGAACTCAAACTTGGTTCACAATATTGCATACCTATATAGCTCGGACAATTTCAGAAATTTACGTGCATTTTTGGTGGAGTTATGCCCCTTTTATTGCCAAATTAGGGCAAGGTGTAGTAAATGCAAGAACTTTTTTATTTTTTAATCTATTCCTTTCAAATTTTGTACGGTAATGCTAGAAGCAATAGTGTTCAACACATATTACAGGTTTTTCTGTCAAGTTGCAACTTCCTGTGTTTTGGCATATCTGTTTACACAATAAATCGAGCCAAAACACTTTTCTTACTAAAAGCCCTGAGCAGGCGACACATCGACTCCCATGGAATTCTTGTTGATTTTATATAAGGTTTGAAACGCATCTTTTTAATCTTTAATGTCATCATTAATATCAAGCAGTAAGTGAAGATGTTACAAACTCTGTGACATTTAACAAAAAATAGTCTTCATAGTCTTCTCAGTCATAAACCGAAGGAAGGGCAGTAGGAGAAGGCTTATACGGAGATTGTAAGACAGAAAACAGGACCGTAATTAGAACCTGGTGGTAAATAACGTGAGTAGGGTAATTATACTGAGACCATATCTATATAATCCTCTCAGTATTAGTTGTTAGAAAACTCAGCAGGAATATGAAACCTCTCGAGATTTTGTCAAGTGTTTTGTATTATAGCAAAAAAGCGTTTCATTCATAAACCGTAGTCAGATCAGCAACACCAAGGGGCTCTCTTATAGCTCACCAGGGGTTTCTTAATGTACCGGTAGTATCCATCAGGGGGCTCTGACGTATTGCCCACCTGGGGCTTTCATGTAGTGTCCACAAGGGGGCTTTGTTGTAGTGTCCACCGGGGGCTTTTATGTAGTGTCCACTAGGGGGCTTTGATGAAGTGTCCACAAGGGGGCTTTGTTGTAGTGTCCACCAGTGGCTTTCATGTAGTGTCCACAACGGGGCTATGATGTAGTGTCCACCATGGGCTTTGTTGTAGTGTCCACTAGGGGGCTTTGATGAAGTGTCCACAAGGGGGCTTTGTTGTAGTGTCCACTAGGGGGCTTTGATGTAGTGTCCACTAGGGGGCTCTGTTGTAGTGTCCACCAGTGGCTTTCATGTAGTGTCCACTAGGGGACTCTGATGTAGTGTCCACCGTGGGCTTTGTTGTAGTGTCCACTAGGGGGCTTTGATGAAGTGTCCACTAGGGGTCTTTGATGTAGTGTCCACAAGGGGGCTCTGACGTATTGCCCACCTGGGGCTTTTATGTAGTGTCCACAAGGGGGCTTTGTTGTAGTGGCCACCGGGGGCTTTCATGTAGTGTCCACTAGGGGGGTTTGATGTAGTGTCCACCGTGGGCTTTGTTGTAGTGTCCACTAGGGGGCTTTGATGAAGTGTCCACAAGGGGGGTTTGTTGTAGTGGCCACCAGTGGCTTTCATGTAGTGTCCACTAGGGGGCTCTCTTGTAGTGTCCACCAGTGGCTTTCATGAAGTGTCCACTAGGGGGCTTTGATGTAGGGTCCACAAGGGGGCTCTGACGTATTGCCCACCTGGGGCTTTTATGTAGTGTCCACAAGGGGGCTTTGTTGTAGTGTCCACCGGGGGCTTTCTTGTAGTGTCCACTAGGGGACTCTGTTGTAGTGCCCACCAGTGGCTTTCATGTAGTGTCCACTAGGGGGCTCTTATGTAGTATCCACCAGTGGCTTTCATGTAGTGTCCACTAGGGGGCTTTTATGTAGTGTCCACTAGGGGACTCTGTTGTAGTGCCCACCACTGGCTTTCATGTAGTGTCCACTAGGGGGCTTTGATGAAGTGTCCACCAGGGGCTATGATGTAGTGTCCACAAGAGGGCTCTGATGTAGTGTTCAATAGGGGGCTCTGATGTAGTGTTCACAAGGGGGCTCTGATGTAGTGTCCACAAGGGGACTATGATATAGTGTCCACCGTGGGCTTTGTTGTAGTGTCCACCAGTGGCTTTCATGTAGTGTCCACAAGGGGACTATGATGTAGTGTCCACCGTGGGCTTTGTTGTAGTGTCCACTAGGGGACTCTGATGTAGTGTCCACCAGTGGCTTTCATGTAGTGTCCACTAGGGGGCTTTGATGAAATGTCCACTAGGGGGCTTTGATGTAGTGTCCACAAGGGGGCTCTGACGTAGTGCCCACCTTGGGCTTTCATGAAGTGTCCACAAGGGGGCTTTGTTGTAGTGTCCACCGGGGGCTTTCATGTAGTGTCCACTAGGGGACTCTGTTGTAGTGCCTACCAGTGGCTTTCATGTAGTGTCCACTAGGGGGCTCTTATGTAGTGTCCACCAGTGGCTTTCATGTAGCGTCCACTAGGGGGCTTTCATGTAGTGTCCACTAGGGGGCTTTGATGTATTTTGAAATTTGTATCGGTTTATCATGATTATTTTGTTGCAAATATCTGTTTTACTATAGCTCTAGTTCCGATCGATACCAGTAAAACAGTGTAATGTGACGAAATGCCATAACAAGCTCAAAACACAGTAGGGCAAAATTTGATGTTATACATGTGCTTTTGTATAAATCTATTTATTACATAGATGATATATAATGTAGATAAATTTGAGGTTTTCAGGAAGTAATACTATTGATCGAGGTACTGTGTTGGAATCGTCTTTAAAAACACTACTGTTTTACAGGGTTTGTTCAGATTGTTTGTTAACCCTTTCACCACTGTAGACCATAATGGACTGATCCAGAACAAGACATGGTATAATTTATTTAAGTTACATAGGGCTGAAAGGGTTAATGTAAATGTGAAGCAGATTGTTTCGTTAATGTAAAGGGGAAGCAGATAGTTGTGTTAATGTTAATGGGAAGCACATTGTTTTGTTAATGTAAATGGGAAGCAGATTGGTTTGTTAATGTAAATGGGAAGCAGATTGTTTCGTTTATGTAAATGTGAAGCAGATTGTTTAGTTAATGTAAAGGGGAATCAGATTGTTTCGTTAATGTAAATGTGAAGCAGATTGTTTCGTTAATGAAAAGGGGAAGCAGATAGTTGTGTTAATGTAAATGCGAACAAGATTGTTTTGTTAATGTAAATGCGAAGCAGATTGTTTCATTAATGTAAATGGGAAGCAGATTGTTTCGTTAATGTAAATGGGAGGAAAATTGTTTTGTTTATGTGAATGGGAAGCAGATTGTTTTGTTAATGTAAATGGGAAGCAGATTGTTTCATTAATGTAAATGGGAAGCAGATTGTTTCGTTAATGTAAATGGGAAGCAGATTGTTTTGTTAATGTAAATGGGAAGCATTCTAGGGGCCCTGTATCTACGACCACTGCCAAAATCTGTAACTACGTGCTGGGAACTGTTTCCCTGCTTGTCTATAGCTTTAATATATCAATAACACAAGAAATCTTACCATGTGGATCTTACATGAAAACATATTTTGTATGGTTGAGTGGCGCAGTGGATAGGGCACTTGCCTTCCACCAAGGTGGTTTTATTCCCTAATTGGACATGGAAAGGTATGGGGTTACCAATATTAGACTTACCCGCCCCACGATAGTCTCGTTCAACCAGACTCCTATTGTCTGTGCAAGCTACGCCGAACAGAAAGTCTGGTCAAAATCTATGATATCATTTCACTAAGTAAGAACGATCGAGGTTTACCAGAAACCTGGTAAAGGATTTCATTGGTCAAAGGTAGATATACCCTTTCCAACTTTTGAGTTAGTGGCGCAAAATTGTATTGAATATTTTAATTCATGAAAAAATTAACTGTACATGCATTCCTGAAGTATCTGTGTATTCACTATTATCGAGAAAAATGTGAGGAAATGCTTCAAATCTCAAGAATGATTGCATGTATTTTCATTGGATATTTTACATCAATAATTCATCTAGCTAACAAAGCTATTGATACAAGTCAAGCCAGATTACCTGAGTGAGAACCTGTAGTGAATGGTGTACAGGTAAAATCTCACTTGCTTTGCATGCTTTTTTCCAACCTCAGTCAGCCTTGTTGGCTTTGTTCTCAGTTGTGACTTATTTAGTGGAAACATATGGCATTATTCTGGAGACTTTTTTTTCATTTCTCTCGATAATAGTGAATACACAGATACTTCAGGAATGCATGAACAGGTAAGTTTTGTTTATTAATTTCATTTTTCTTTGAAATGTTTTAAGTGGCTAGACAAACCGTCCGGAAATGAAAGTAAAAACACTGCCCTCTGGTGATGGTAATTTTAAAGCACTGTGTTTGACCAGACTCTTGTATTACAAGTGATCAAGCATATGGTTGAACGTTACTAGCCCCACGAAAGCTGATCATAAATAAAAGTCCTTAACTCAGGTTGTTGTTTTTTACACAAAAATGTGTTTTATGAAAGTTTGTTGTTACACAAATAAAGGTTGTGTGACTTTTACAAAATTTACAAAATGAAATAAAAAAGTGATGTGAAGATTTACAATTGTCAGCTTGTTATTCTGTTAAATTTGGGAATCATTGTAGTGTTCATTACTTACAGCCAGACCTGTATTTATACAGCGAGACCTGTATTTATACAGCCAGATCAGTACTTAGATCTGAACCTGTATTTATATAGCGAGACTTAAGTATTAACAGCCAAACCTGTATTTACAGCCAAACCTGTATTTATACAGCCAGACAAGTATTAACAGCCAAACCTTACTTTACAGACAACCCTGTATATATACAGCCAGAAAAGTATTAACAGCCAAACCTGTATATATACAGCCAGAAAAGTATTAACAGCCAACCCTGTATATATACAGCCAAAAAAGTATTAACAGCCAAACCTGTATATATACAGCCAGAAAAGTATTACCAGACAAACCTGTATATATACAGCCAGAAAAGTATTAACAGCCAAACCTCTATTAACTCATTCACACAGTTAATGAAGACACATTTTAACTCTTCAAATTCAAAGGTTGGAATGCTTCATTATGAGATTTCAGGGGTGAATGAGTTACCACACAAACCTGTATATACCGACAGACCTTCATTTACAGCCAAACCTGTATTTACAGACAAACCTGTATTTACAGACAAACCTGTATTTACAGACAAACCTGTTTTTACAGACAACCCTATATTTACAGACAAACCTGTATTTACAGACAAACCTATATTTTCAGACAAACCTG